TTGGGCCAGGATATTTTAGTATCTAGTAGTATTTTATTATGTGAATGTAGGACTTTGCAACCTTATAGGGCAATTGAGAAAAACTAAACAAAACAAAAAAAAAGATGTAATGTGCATTTTCATCTTCTATATATAATATTAAATATTATTTTTTTTAAACATTATATATTATATTATATTATATATTACTTAATATAAAATTATATCTTTTATTTCTTGTTTTTGTTGACAACAAATAAAATTTGCAATACACATGATAAGAAACTATGATATGCAATAGAGTTTATGCACATAAAAAACTGTGAGAAAATTGTGGCTGTTCTTTGCTTTATGGAGATTATAGAGATTAGAAATATTGAAATATTTTTAAATGTTTTTTTAATATGGAGATTTAGTATAAACTATTCTTTTTTTTTTTTTTTTTTTGATAGCAACAAATCACAGATTTGCAATACACATTATAAGACAGACACTATGCTATGCAATGGCGTTTACACAACAATATAAATATTATATAGACACTTTACTGGTGTAGAAACCAGCTGTTTGCACATGATTTGTTAAATTGGTTTAAACTGCTTGAGTTTGTAAAAGTCATAAGGTGTTAAAGTATATCATATTTTTATTATAGTGGTTTTACTCCATTAGCGAGATCATTATCTCGGTGAGTTACCATCTGCTGAGAAATATCACCTCAGACCTGCGATGTTAACAGAACGAAGCATAATTGGACTGTTTACACTTTAAAATTCAGCTGAAGCTGTGGACGGCCCACACATCCTCCTCGCTAATGACACCGCTTTCAAATCCTTGACTCTTCTCCAATTCAATTAAAGCTTTTTTTTCTTCTTATGACTCATTTTATTCTTTCTCATCTTATCTTTCCAGTAACCTCGATACAGACAAACTATCAGGTAGGTGTGGATAATTCCTTTAAATTACCATTCTGGGAAGAAAATACAAAAATTGAAGAAGTGTTTCAAGTGGCAGTAATTAAAAAAACGAATCAAATTTTATTTAAAGTTCTCGCGTTCGTCACACATTTCACATTTTCTTCCTGTAAGAATGCAGAAGTGGTTTGTTATTCGCTTGCAAGGTCATATTCTGTTAAAATCTGCTTTGACTGAATTAATGCTTCTTTTAATTCTCAGCATTTCAACTATATTGAGAATCTGCACATCCACCGCTGTACCCTGATTTGCATATTATCTGTCTTGAAAAGCATGCCAGATTAGGATTATATAATATGCTTAAAACTGTATTATAAAGCTGGTATTTCAAAGGTGCACTAGATTTTCTGGTGGATTTTTGTGCATCCTTGCATGTTTTTGAGCTAATATTAGCCACAGTTTTAAAATGCATGAACTTAAAAGTGAATAATTAATTGTAATTCATTTTAATTTTTACTATGGGAGGTTTTATATCTTAAAAGTGAATTTTCCCCATGGGAAAACTGAACAGGAAAACCAAGTTCACTATAAAACTAAATGCTGACTGTTGTGCTGTACAGTTACTACAAAAAATAAACATATGAATTGGAACGCAGCCTGAATCTTCTGTTCTCAGAGGCCAGAGGGTAAAAAAGGTGATATTAAATGACAAGTAATGATCTGAAAATCTTCTTGTCCCCAAAACATAATTCATTGACTCAAACTCAAGCAGATATTGACAGCCAAGGAGCAGTCGCCTGTTTATGAGCAGTGCAGTTTTTAATCTACTTTACGTGTGTGTGTGTGTGTGTGTGTGTGTGTGATGGAATACATCTAGTGATAAAAACAGACTATAAAGCTTGATCGTTTCAGACATCATTTCTGTGAACCTCTCCATATCACACTTGGTAAATGACTCAGTGGCCATATAACAAATTTTATATTTTGGCTTATAATTCTCTCTCTCTTCCTCCGCTGTTTTCAGATTAAACTGACCTTTTTTTTTTCATTTTAAGAAGCGACACAAATTCCACTTTTGTAGGTAATATTAGCTAAAAACATGCACAAATGTATGCCTACAAATCCACAGAAGAAAGTACAGGACTCATATTTTGTCTCTGATCTATAATTCATCCTCTTTCTTGTTTCAGATTACTTTTCCCAGCATCTTGGGGAATACCTGGATGTTCTGTCAGCGTTAGAGAAACTCAATGTCGCTGTCCTAAAGGCGATGGACAAGACAAAGGAGGTAAACTAAGATCAGAATGAGATCAAATCATATAACAGCCAGGGGTATTGTTGTTAACTAAAGCTAGTACAATATTTTTGTTAATTGAAATAAAGCTGCAGTGAAATAAAATATAAATATTAGATAGAAAAACTAAAAGAAAATTAAAAATGTTTTCTTTTCAAATAACTGAAATAAGTTACTAATTAAAAATAAATAAAAACTAAAACTAAATAAAATTTATTACATTTTAATAGTAATATTTAAATAAATAAATTAATTAATTAAAAATACTAAAAAATAAACTAAAAATAAATATAATATAAAATTAAAAACTACTTCAAAACATTATGTACATAATGATAAATAACAATAAGAGTATCTGTTCTGTTGCTTTGCACCACATTTAATATTTTGTAAATGACAAAGCTTTAATATTTTGTTATATAATGCACTGATAGTCAAACATTTTTATGTGTGACTTAAGTGCATATTTAAACTATAAGTCACCAAGAAATTGCAAACAGTAAGACTCAGCATCCACTGTACTGTCTCTGTGTGCTGGCACTGATCTCTAGGTTTAACTGATGATCTCTGTAATGGAGATCCTGCTTCTCTCAGTTCTCTCTACACCGTGTCGAAGGCAGTAATTGTATCTGACACATGGCGATCTCCATTCGTTCAGGATAAAGTGGTCATTAATTTAGTTTTCAGACCGGTCATTACTTATCAAGATGTTTCCTGAGTGCACACTAAAGTCAGTGGCTGGTGTTCTTCATTAGCAGCAGGTTAATCGTGTTTGTTGTGCATTGATGACGGAAATACTGCGAGATTTTGAATAATGAAGGCCGCAAATGAGGTCTACAGACGGATGCAGTGGGTACGGAAAGGGTAAGTGTGGGTTAATTCAGCGTGATGATGAGTGTTTCCCGTGCAGGAGTACCAGGGTTCCTCGGTTCTGGGGCAGTTTGTGACCCGTTTCATGTTGAGGGAGACGTCCAGTCAGCTGCTGTCACTCCAGATGTCTCTGCAGTGTGCAATGGATGCTGTGGAGGCGCAGAGCAGCACCACTCCGTGAGTCTCTCACACACACACA